CCGTAGGGGGCAGCGGGCCTTCGTGGAGAAAGGCGTGGAGTGGGAGGGCCGGGCGTGGTGCCTCCCCGAAGGACGGGGGGGGACTGCCCCGCAGTCGAGCGGGCCCTCTTTCTGCTGGTAGCTCTGCGAAGTTTGAAAAGCGTACTTTTTCCTCTCCTGTGAAAAGAGGATTTATTCGGAAGTGTGACAGTAGTCGCCAGAAACCAGCTTTAGTGCTGAAATGAAAAAGAAAAAAAAACCTTCTTGCTTTTGCAATAAAAAAAAGACTTATGAAACTTGCGAGCTTGGCAAAGCTCTTTCCTACTAAGAGACAGTGTTATTTCTTATCAGAAAGTTCATGACAAATCAGCTATTCCAAGCTTGGGGTTTCAGTATACTGAAGTACCTGCTTGAAGCTCAGGCATTACTGTGCTGTTACTGACATTTAATTTTTCTGTTAATTTTTTTCATTCTGTGTTATGAGCTTGATGACAGATGGCCAAAAATAAAAAGCGCCCAACTAGTTGAGTTTTACTTAGCAACCTGCTTAGATAAGCTTTATATACTTTTGTTTGGGTTTGTGTGCTCTAATATTTGAATATCTAAAAAGCTAAGCCTTCTTACCCAGCAGGACAAAGGATGGTCCATACTGTGAATATCGTTGTCTAAAACCGGAGCCATACCTTTTTGTTTTCTTGCATGTATCTTATTCCGGAATTGACAAAATGTCACACTTCATGTACTTCATTTTTTAATACATTAAGTACAGTATTGCTTAAAAGTTATACATAATATATACATTATAAAAAGGGCATATTTTTAAAAGTGTGTGTATGACATGGGTAGGTTCAAAATGGTTCAGACGGTTAAAATGCAAAATGATTTTAAAGGAGTATGGACAGCTTCTGAAATATGAAATGCTAAGGAATGGGAACAGGAGACGCAGCATAACTGAAATCACATATGACAACCTATGGGATGGAATGGCCATGTGAAGCTGGTTTTTTGCCCTGTAGATCTTATGTAGGGGTGTAGATGTGCTTGAGGGCTGCAGTCTGTTTCATGATCCTGTAGTTTGTCACATTTCCTAATTTTTGCTTTTCCTAACTGTTTCTCTTTCAAATTGTAATTATATTTATTTAAATTTTTTGCACAGTGCTAAGAAAGTAATTTCAAAGCCATTCAGACTATGGCCTTTGAAAGGATAACACAAAAGGACTGGTACAAAATCCTGGGTGCAAAGCCATCGGACAGTCTGGCAGAACTAAAACGGAAGTACCAAAAACTTGCTTTATTAGTAAGTATGTTTTGGTTTTTTAAGATGTGCAAAAAAAAAAAATTATAAACCAGGAAGATAATAATTGTGGGGTTTGTTTTTACACTTTTTGAATATGATTAATCAGAGTGTGTTTATAACATCAGCTCACTGAGGCTTGTTTAAGTTTCAAATAAACATCTGGAGTTTGAGTTACTATAATTTGCAAAGAGGTCTTGAAGTGTTCTGGTTCCAAAACACTGATGTGTCTCCCAGCTTTGCTAAACGTTTATGAATTAACTGTGCCAAATACTTGTTCATCAGGTGCTGGATAATCAGGTACATAAGTCAAAAAAAAAAAAAAGTAACTGTAGCACGTAGTCATGAAATGTGCCAATTGATACTTGTGTTATTTACTATCGTGCGTGCAGTTACAGTGTACTGAATGCAACACTTAAATGTATAAAGACCAGATGCAAAGAGCAAAAAGTTCTTCCTGAAAGCCTGCAGTTATGGAGTAGAAAATGTATAGGAGGAAAATATTTTAATATAAATTTTATTTGAAAGTTTCTGGTGCTTGTTTGTGGAGCCGTGCTTTTGGTCATACAGTAAGATTTGCTGTTCTGTGTATTCTCTTGATTTTTTTTTCCTGTACTCCTGGTATACGTGTATAAGAATCTCAGAGCTTTACCAGATTACTTCATATGATTCTTGCCTCTCTTGTTTTACTCCTTCCCCTGAATTCAGGCTTTTTGCCCAAAAGATGCTTTGGCCTGGTTTTCTGAGGAAAATGGGGTGTATTTTTTTGATATTGTTGACTATTTTCAACCAAATTTGATAGACAATTAGAAGTCCCAAGATAATTAAATTCCTAAGTTTCTTGAAAACTGGCAACCTGGTAGAGAAGATGGAAGAAGGTGAGTGAAACTCAGTTTTTTTATATGTTCCTTTAGGTAGTTGCTAGCTGGACTGTCAGTATTGGCAGAGCATTAGAGAGCGCATGTGCAGCTAATCTTGCTTGGTTTGAGGTGTCCGAATGAACGTGATTAGAAGTTGGGACTTTTAAGTGAGGTAAAGAGAATGATGCCTGTCAACAGGAGCCTGAATTTTGTTAGAGTTGAAATAAATCCATGGGTTGGTTTGGGGTGGGGTGGGGAGAGAGAGAGAGTGTGTGTGTGTGTGTGTGTTGTTTTTTAAAAAAATCGTTTCTAGCCCCTGTGAAAACTGTTTTAAACGGCATTTTACAAGTATGAAATATCTTCCAAATTTACATATTTTGGTGCTCTTCAGTTGACTTAGCTAAGCTGTACGTCTACTGCTGTACATCTACTCCTTCATGGTGCTTCCTGCTAACTTATTTCTTTGTCTGAAAATGATCTGTGTACTTAGAGTCTTAAGTTTTAACACTTTACAAGATGTTTGCATGCAGATGTAGGACATAAATCCTCTGGTCCTCACTATTAAACATCAGAAGAATCAATGCAGGAGAGTTGACTTGGAAACTAAACTTCTTGGTTCCACTCCTAACAGTAATAGTTGTTTTCTTGGACCTCCTAATGTTTTTTTTATTTTACTGAATTACTAGTGAAATGTGAATAAAATATTAATAATGATCTATTTGTTCTTCATGAAAACAATAGGGAACCGCAGTGTAAAATACCTCTTCCCTTCAGATAGAAGGCTAATTTAAACTGAATACTGTAATGGAATTAATGTATTTCTTTCATTATGAATCTATGTATAGTACTGGAATTAAAATCATATGTATTGTTCAGAGCTGTTTGCCACAGAACTGAAACTACAAAGTGCCTTTCCTGCATGAATTTTTTTTTTAAATGAAACTGACCCTTTGCGTTATAGCACTGTACTTTTATGTAATTCTTTTGAAGAGTGTGAAGTAAGAATTGTTGGAGATTACAACTATCTGTTTAAGTCTGTAACTGTCTGTAGTTTTAGAAATTAAAAGATTATTTTAATATAGAAGCTTTTCTTTAGAGCCTGTGTATATTCAAACTAAATGGTTAGTGCTCTTTATTTGAAAAGTTAGCGAGAAATGTTAGAGAAAACAAAGATACTTCTTTTTTATTATTATTATTTTGCTGTTTGGCTCAGAATTCTTTTGCTATCAGTGATGATCTCTTTCTGACTAAAAAGCCACACTGATGTTTACTTGTAGGTGTTTTCTCCGAGGCAGATCCTCTGCTTCTTGTCTGTTGTTACCATATGTCCTGTGTCTATTCATCTTTTTATTGTAGCTGAACTGTTAAAGACTCTACTTGTCTGTCTGCTTACTAATACAGCATCTAGCACAGTTAGTCTAAAGCCTGTTAAAGCATGGTGGTAATAACAATTATTTTTATGCACCTTAAAAACTCATTGGCTATAGGAGTGACTTGGAGGCTACAGTACATACCTTCGCTAAAAGGTCTTTGTATAGCCCATAGTTACATTGTGAAAGTTATTGCCACGGATGATGTTGTGTCCAAGGGGTTCCATGCTTGAAAAAGTTGTAAGATTTTCATGAAAGAAAAGTCTGCTATGGCACGTTAACACCAGAAATACTCTCTGATTCAGAGATTCATGAGCTATGGACTTCTGAATATTGGTAGAATATATAAGGGAGGTGTTGCTGTATGTTTGTCTTGCGCTGATACCATTCCCTAGGCATCCACTTTTCATTGTTAGTAAAAAGTGTGGCACTGGATGGACCTTTCATCTTATCTGTTGTGTCCAGTTCAGATAAAATAACTCCCTTGCTCCCCAACTAAAGCTTGTACATAGAGCTCTTGGTAGCTTCACACCTCTGACGAAGTGCTCATTTGGGTTTTCTAAAGCCATTGTTGGAGATAGTGGTGGTAGAAGTAGTAGTAGTGGTGGTGGTGTAAGCAGAGAACAGGTCTACATGCAGGTATTTTATGTACTGCGGTAGTGGTCAATTATTGGAGTAACTCCAGTTCAGAAGCCGGAATAGCAGGTGAGCACAGCTATGTATTGCCTATTAAAAGATTTCATGACAAATTATGTGGTCAGTATAGGAAGTTTTCTGGCTTATGTGTAGCAGCAGAAGTTAACCTCGTGAAGAGCTGTACTGTGCTAATTACCTTAAAATCCAAAAGTTTATAAAGCAACTTGCATCTTGGATATTAATTGCAATTAATATGACATTCATTCTGTAGTCATGAATATTCTGATCACAGATGTTCATTAGCATCAAGCATAATAGATGGTGGAATTTATTTTTAAAAATACTTCTGCTGTTGAAATAAAAATGGCAAATGTCTGAGTCCAAGCCTTCTTCAAGTGATGCCCAGTGCTTCACGTTGAGCATTTGCTTTTTGCCATCTGCTATTTTATATTTGTCAACACATGTATGCTCAGCATCTTGAATGAACAGGCAGATGTAAATTTCCAAAGCTAAAAAGAGTTGGAGATCTTGCCATATGTCATCCAAGAGATAACTATATTTGTGGTTAAATCTCAGGACTGACCTTAATAATACAAAGTAGTACGCAATTAAAAATGGTTGAATCTTAGGTTTGTAAGTATGATTTCGTAAGGCCAAATTAGCTTAAAATATAACTTGGTTTTGTCAGTTCTAACAAATTGGTGACGGAAAACATTAATAACCCATAACAAATAAAACTGTGCATATGCACCCTACTGGAGTGAATACATTTAGTTACTGTTTTGCCATATTTTGTTTTGCTTTTTTTTCATTTGGTCAGGTCACAACATATGTTTAAGTGAATTATTTTGCTACAGATAATGTCAATTCTGTCTTTAATAATACTATTAATTTGATAAAGAAAATAGCATGGGTTTGGCCTAAAAGTAGTGATATCTTTTTAATCAAATTTTTTCTTTATTTCTCACCTTCTAAATATTTGGGTAAAAGTTCATATTTATAAAACTTCCTTGCAACGTACTGAAACTTAAATTTATTTCTTTTAAATTCCTGTGTACTTATGTGACTGATACCTGGATCATCTTGATACTTTATTACTGTAACAAGCAATAGCAGCTGAAGATGACAGACTCTTGGGCACAAGATGTGTGTGACACTGGTAATTTTATAAATAGCTTGTTTTTTAAAACAAAATCAAACTTGTGTGTGTGTGCTGGCTCATATTCTGGTGTCTTCTCTAGCACAGAGCTTCAGTCAGTAATTCTGAAAGGAAAAAAAAGTTAGAAAAAAATTAGAAATGTGTATTTTGTAACCAGCATAGCTCAATGCAGAGGTTTTTTTGATTGGCTGTTGTAAATTCATGCTAAGGTACTTTCTGAAGCACAGAAGACTTGAAGTTTCGCACTCTGAAAGGAATCCCAAGAAATTTTGAGAATTAATATGTTGTCTAAGTAGTAGGAGTTTGGTCTTTAATCTTCTGGCTTTGGAACATGTTGCTGATAATGAGATGTTTGGGATATGTATGGCCTTTTTATTCACAGTCACATACATGGTAGTTTCAACAAAAAAATTCCTAAATGGATAAACAGGTTTTATACTTAATTTTTCAAGGACTCTATACAGCTTTTAGGAAGGATAATACTTATGTTCTGTTTCTGAATGTGTATAAAATTAACAGAGGATGAAATTAGAGTGACAAAAACTGGATATTGGGGGAAAGAAATTACACCATCTTATTACTGGCACAATTTTTACATCTCCTTTTGGTCTAGCATTTTGTGGTCAAAGAATGAGTTGCCAGATGGTTTTCAGATTTTCATGTAGCCACTCTATATCTGAAAACTGCTTTTTACAGGGAATAATGTCACCAAATGCATAAGCTTTGTCTAGCTGAAAATCAGGTGTCTGTTCCTGTTGATGCTGATGATGTTATAGGATACCTTTCAACTGGAAAAAAAATTATTGAGCAGGAAAATTATATGCTGCTGTTACAATGTGTGCCCTAATCTTAAGGAAAATCCATGTAATTTGAGCAGGCAGTATGCAGGAAGATCTTATTTTTAATATGGTAAAGAAATAAAATGTGCCATTTAACACATAGTGTTACAAAGATTATCCCTTTATCAGAAGGGGTGGT